GATAAATAAAATCTGTAATAACAATTAGAATTCATAACCAAATCTTGTGATTCTGTATAAATAGATTTGTAACGTAATCAAGAGCTCTAATCTGACACTATTACTAAGAACCCAATTTACCCTAGTTACTCAGACCAAGTCTTTCCACATCTTGATCATAGCCTTACTAATATTAGGGTTTGGTTGTATTAGTTGTAGTGTTTTGGCTAGAGTAGTTTAGTTAGTTTTAGTATTGTGTAATAGTGTTTATTGGTATTATCTAGAAAGAGGATTATTTTTCTTTTTTATACCTTGTATATTACTGGGTACAGGTATATAGTACCACATATTACGGTAAATTTAGTGTCTAATAAAAAATTAGCCACATATATACATATTATTTTTTTTATGTTAATATAATAATGAAAACTCTGAATAATATATATCGATATACGTATAAAAACAAACAAAATTACATTGAAAAGTAGCATATCTTTAGACAGATATAAAGTTTGTAATGCAATCATTATTCTATCTATATTGCAAAACATACAAAAAAGTAGTGTATAGCATATATAGACGATATTAATATGATAATTTTCGAATAATTAACGTTAAATAAAAATAAATAAGTTAACAATTTGGTAATAATAATAATGATAGTTTAAAATTTGTAAAGACTTATCATTATACTGCTATATTATAGTATTATATCCGTTTTATTGATTCTGATATTTAAAATTGCAAAAGTAATTGGTGTCACAAATTGTAACGCATATAATTGAATCCTAAGCTTAAAACTTTATTAGATTAACATTTGTAATTCATGAATTTTTATCTAAATTATCTTTACATTTTCATACAGAAACTAAATTTGAAACTCAAATTCAGTCATGAATTTTTGGTACATTAATATTATTGACCAATTTAGATAACTTTAGTTTATTTATCATACTTGTTTAGATTTTAACTCACTCTAAAAAAATAAATATAAATATTATATTGAAGCTCTTGCAAAATATAATTGCATATTTAATATAAAAATACTTACAATTATCATATTTAGAAGTTCAAAGATCTCCAAAAAATCTGCCATATCAACGAATTCAAATGGTAATCTTGCAGATTTGATTTGCAAATATGTTTATTTATAAAGCATAATTTACTAAATATTATCTAATCACCTAACAATATTTTTATGAGATTTAATTTTAAAATATTTATAAAAAACCAACATAGTAAATAAAATATCTATATTTTGTATTGTGAATGTATACAGAGATTTTGCTACTTCTGCATTTTTATCTAAATAGTCTCTTAGTAAAGATATGAGTCTAAATATAGCTTCTTTGAGAAGCTTTTCTGCATCTTCTTTTATATGAGTTAAATCTATATTCTTAGGTCTATCTGATACTTCAATAAAAATAACTGCTTTGTTTGTTAAATTTCTTATCCCTATACTATAAACTTGGTTTATAGTCAAATCAAATTCT